TTAAATGAAATAAAGTAAAATGAAATTTTTTTTCTCTAAAATTTGAAATTTTTTATGAAAATCATCCCCCCACACGCCATATAAAGTACAAAAGGAGAAATTTCGCTCCTTTTAACAAATCAATTATGGCAAATAAGCTTCGTTCAACCAATTTGGAACGATTCATAAGACGGATTCAATCTCCGCTTACGCGTTAATAGCGCGAAATATATCACGCGTTAATTGTCCCAAATTGGTCAAAATGGCCAAAATGGCAATCTTTAAACCCTCATAACTCTACGAAAAACGATCACAGATGAAATATCTTTTCAAATTTAAGCCCAGGACAACAATACCTTTTGAATGATATAAAAAAAATCCGTCAAAAATGGCTATTTAAAAAGTCGAAATTTGTCTGAAGAAAAAAAAAACCCACCCCGAGCACAAATATTCCGTTACTTTCGTATCGAAAGTCGGAACAATAAATGCTCGTATCACTCAGTGTTTTGACTGCTCTCGTATCAATTTTGTGAGTTTTCCGACTGCGTTTAATGTTTCTAGTGTTAAAAAACCCTTAAAAAATTGAAGAAAAAAATAAATTTGAAGGCAATCCTTGCTTGTAATTTCAGATACAAAACAAGCAATTTTCTAGACCAATTTTTCATCATTTTCTCACTTGGAGTGATTTCTGAAGTCGGAACGAAAAATTAATTTTTTGAAATGATAAAAAAGAACACACACACTTCAAACGTTGTCGTCAAACTTAAAATAGATTAGGTCAGATTGATTCAAATGCTCAGTAGGTGCACAAAAGATAGACATTTTTCCTTATATAGGAGGCTATCATTCACAAATTTAGCCAACAGACAGTTAAAAAAGAGTCATTGAACGCAAAAAAAAAGTTTGTAGGAAAAGTTTTTATTCCGCTGGGACATCTAGAAATCAAATTCCAATTTCAAAACTAGAAATTGTTCACGTTTTTTTGCTACGTTCATTACTCTTAAAAACGACCCATTTTTGGGGTAACCTTTTGGTTACATTTTTTGGAGAACAAGTTGCATTGTAATAATTCTGATGAAATCCCAAGCAACTTTTGTATCCATCTTTTTTTTCTAATCTAAAAACAATTTGGAGAGAAACGCGTTTGAAGTTTCAATTTCGCTTGTTTTGTCCGGTTGCTTTAAATCAGCACTGTATAAGAGTAGTCACTACTTTCATTACTCTTAAAAAACATCAATGTTTCCGACACTTTTTGGGTTTTATGAGCATATTAGTACATGTCCTTGAAAAAGACTTTAAATAATAGAGTAGTATAGGTAATTGAATTGAAATAGTCGTCTTAATTAATCATTAACTGAAAGCATGAAGGGGTTACAATTACAAATAACTTGTTTTCTGATGACAGATTCCCTGATATACAAGTATTTGAATCAGTAGCCGATTTAGGCAGAGGAAGCAGTGGCGGACGCTTCCCCCTTCAGGGATTCGGCCCCTGAGCAGCGAATAGGGTCTCCCATTGATAACTAATTTAAGATTTTTATTTTTGACTCACTGTCCCTAAAATTGTTCCAAAGGCGCCTTTGGTGCCAGTATATTCTATTTTTTTTGGGGGGGACGCTAAAAATGTTTTTAAAACGCCATTTTTGGCCTGTTTGTTTAAAAAATGACTTTATTGTAATTTGAGAGAGCTCGGAAAATCAATTTGGTCGATACAAAAAAATCAGACCCCCCTCCCACTCGAGAAAACCAATTTCCGCCTCTGATTAGAGTAGCATACATGTATGGTAGTGTTATAGTCGCATATCTCGGCAGTGAGGTTCTCTTTCACGTCAGTTCCCTCGCCCTCCCGCACGAAGAATCTGTACTGTTGGATAATGTCGAACTTCTGCAGGAAATTGTTACATGATATATCCAAAATGATAGTCTTGTTAGTCGTCGACACCAACTTCGCTTTTGTGCCCGCTCTCTGGTTCTGCTGCGGAGCTGAAATAATTGAAACATAGCCAAAAAAAGTTCACTAATGTTTTCGGCAGGCAAATTTTACATGATATCTAGCAAGAAAGCAAGAAACCTTTCAAAAAAATAAATTGTTTTTGCACTTTCTGCAAGATTTTTTTTTGCAACATTTACAAGCATTTTGAAAGGTATGCATCCCAGTGGCAGAAACTAAGCTACGTTTTGCTTTCATTTCGTTTTGCAAAATTTCCATTCCGAGGCTACAAGGTCTAGATCTGATGTCCTTTTAAAAAATCAAAACACATTAAAACTCAATACAAAACCATAAATCTCAATTTCAAATATATTAGCTAGGTTATACTTTTGTTTCGCGTTTTCACTTGCCATTAGAGATGAGTTCCATTTGTCAAAGCATTTTGAACTTGAAAGAACTCTGGAAAAAACTATCAAAAAAAACTGGAGTGCGATCAAAAATAAAAACTATTTCTTGCATAAGAATGACAAAATTACGCAACCTGAACAATAGAAAATTAATTTTGTTTTTCAAAAAGTCTTTCAAATATCAGGTGCCGTCAACAAGCAAGTACAACACATTGGAGCCCTTGCAAGATCTGCAGCCTATGCAGGGGCGGGCTGATTTAGGGGGGGGGGGGTGGACGCCCCCCCTCTCAGGGATTCGACCCCTTGCCGACCCAAAGGGTCCCCCCTTTGGTACCTTTTAAGAAATCCATTTTTGGTCAACCGACCCTAAAATTTTTCTAAAGGCGCCTTTGGCGCCATTGTATACTAATTTTGAGGGGGGGGGGGGGGGGGGGGAGCGCGCCAAAAAAAACGTAATTTTTTGGTCAACATTTTCCAAAAAGTGCCTAAAAACGGATTTTTTGGCCTGTTTTTGCAAAATTCGCCTGCGGCGCAGAAATTTTGGCTAAAACAGGGACTAAATTGTGCGTAGGGAGAGCTTGAAAAAATCAATGCGGTCGACCTTAAAATTTTTGAAAAGCCGCCTCCCCCCTCGAGAAAATCCTAGATCCGCCCCTGAGCCTATGTGCGGAAAATTAACAACATTTTGCATTAATCTTGCAAGGTTTTGCAAAACTTGCGTTTTATTTGTACAAGAAAATTTCCATTCCGAGGCTACAAGGTCTAGATCTGATGTCCTTTTAACAATTCATAACAAATTAAAACTCATAACAAAACCAAAAATCTCATTTTTAAATCTACAAATTAAGCTATACTTTTGTTTGGCCTTTACATTTGTCATTAGAAATCGTCATTAGAAATTATTTTGAAATTCAAAAAAATCTGGAAAAACTCAAAATTAAAATTCGAGTGTGAAATTTTCAGGTGACATGTTTTTGCGTTTTAGAAGTTTTAACAAGACCTCATACGACTATATAAACAGCCTAAAGATTAAGTGCGATTCAAAAAAGACAACAATTAAATATATTTTAGCATTATCAAAAATTTTTGCAGTATCATCATCCCAACGCCGACTTTTTGCAAACAGATTTTTGGGCTACTTTCTCGAAAACGTTTCTATTTTTTAATTCAAACCACGAGTAAGTTTCTTTTTTTTCTATTAAATTTCAAATGGTATTGAAGACAAATTGCAAGCAAAACACGCATATTTTTCAAGTTACCGACAGAGAACTTTTTATCAAACTCAAAAATGACAAAATGGTAAAATTTTCATAATGAACTGAGGAAATATGCTAATTTCTCTCTCCGCATATCCGAAGACATTAAAGTGTAGGGTGCGCTTTGTCGGGAATTTTTAAGTACTTCATGAAAAAATTGGATTTTTATTCAGTTTGAAAAAAGTATATTCAAAAAGTCTTATCTCATGATGAGAAAAAAGCAGTCGGTAATTTTCCTTTTTTCAGACTACATCATACAATGCAGAGCTTTACAAAATGAACATTTATGCATTTCAATCGCCCAATACATGTATATTTTTTTAGTTCTAGTTTGAATACCTCCTGCTACCTAAAAAGCGTTTAAGAAATTAATTTTTAAAATCAAAACATAGCCAATGGAAGATTAGAAAAGAGTAATGAACGCAAATAAACAAAAAAACACTGACTTTTTTAAATCTCAATTTTCGAATTTCAAAGAAAAAATATATGTCCTTTAAGCTCTTTGAATTTCCAGAACGATTTATGAGTGGCGCTTTTTTGATAACATGAACCCAACTGGAGAAAACTGGATCAATATTTAAAGTTTTTATTCCGAAGGAAATCTAAAAGTTATATTCTACTTTCAAAGCTAGAACTCGTTCACGTTTTTTCGCGCCATCTCCACGTTTGTAATTGGAGAGTGCTATTTACGTCACTTTCAGCAGATGCATTTCAAATGAACTCAAAAAGTGCATCAATATTTTAACACTTTTTCCTGAAAAAAAAAACAAAAAAATCTGCAAGACCTAAATAAGAGTCTTCACTACGTTCATTATTTCTAATAGTTTTTGAAACAGTTATTGAGTTTTTTCTACAATTGATTTCCTTAGAATAGCGCTGTCAGAACACTCTGTGCTACAGGCACATGAACTGCAAATCATTATATAACCCAAACTATTTTTTTCTTTTTCCAGTTCAAAACTGCGATTTCAGCATAGAAACTTGCAAGATGCATAAGAAGGATTACATGGAGCTCGCAATTTTTTTACGCAAGTTTGCTAGCAAAAAATTTGATTTAACGGGATTCTTCATAAAATTACAGTTTTTTTTGTGTTGTATTATTTTAAATCACGCAAATCTTACAAAAATCTTAACAGTAATCTAAACGCAGCAAACAAATTTCATATCCGCGAAAAATTTTACCCGAAAAATTATAAAAGTATCTTTAAAAAAAATCAAACAATCCCAT